TCTGCAGATGGCCGCTCACACTGAGCCTGGTTCTGCTGGAGGTTTCTTCCTGTTAAAAGGGAGTTTTTCCTCTCCACTGTCGCTACAACCATGCTTACAGTGAGGGATTGCCTTAGAGTCAATGAGTCGATGCAATCAACTCTTTTCCTTAGAAACTGAATCAATTTGACTGTATGATCTGGTGAACTGTAAAGTGCCTTAAGATGATGTGTTGTTAATTGGTGCTATATAAATAAAATTAATTCAATCTTGCATTATATATACTGATTTTCAGAAACTGATTCAGAATTAGAAAAGCATTTTTTTTTTTTTATTTTTTTTTTTACATAGCCCTATTCTTGACATCAAACATTTGTTTCTTCTAGTTTAATCAACCCCTTTAGGAACCAGGTTAGATTTTGTAGTCAAAACATTTGGTTTGAGATCACGCTGCTGGAATTAAAACTTATTTGAAGGTCATCTTCAGCAGGGCTTCCTGCCTTTAACCACAGCGCCGTCACACTTTTAAAGCTTTGGCTCGTGACGTGGCCGTGTCTCAAAGGGCCGATCATACCCCTTTCATTACTCCACGGCCGAAGAAAACCGAGACATCTGGTGAAAAGGGGCAAAAATCTCAGCTTTTAGTGCAGCTCTTTGAATCCCCCACCCCCCCCATCTAGAGGCAAAAAGCTAAAGAGGTTAAAAGGGGCGACTCGCTCTACCATCCAGGCTTATCCCACTAGGCTTATCCCAGATCAGCAGGTGACCCACCACAGATAATGCAAGGAGAAGAGACTGTGTTTAACCCCCTGCTGGGTGGCGTTAACCCTCATGTCCTCTGACACAGACACACGCATGATACCGTAAGCAAGGAAGGAGCGGAGCCTTTTGTTACTGAGGGGGTTTATTGAAGCAGGCGCCTCCAATGGGACGGTTTAACGCACCAAGCAGCACAAATCTCTATTATCTCACGTACATCTCATTTGAAATGGCCGGATACATCTTTAGCGGTCGCTTGCATGTTTTACCTTGATGCAGAACTGGTAGTCTGCCGGGGCGTTGTGAAGTTTCCTCCCGGTGATGATGGTATAAATGTTGCTGTCCTCAAGATCTGAGAGGACCTGCAGATGTCTGGGTTCCTGTGACAAAATGGGAAAAAAAGAGTGAAATCTACATTTAAAAAAATAAAAATAAAACAGTTAAGATTTGGTTTATAATCATCACTTGGAAAATGTAAAATTTCACAGAAAAGTAAAGATTTAGCTTAGGAATGATATCAACTTTGATTTCTGACCTTTGACGTTCCTTTAGTGGAGTAATAAAGGCCTGAGCGTCGCAGGAACATGTAGAGCTTCTTCCAGGACTTCCTTCCTGGCTCCTTCACATAAAGATAGCCCTGGATCTCTGGACAGCTGCTGGAGTTCAGAAAATTCTAGAAGTAAATCATATTAAACAAGGTTAGAATCATGAAACATGCAAGGATGGATTACCTCTAACATTAAACATACAGACAGACATCAAAGGAACAAACTAATAATACATTTTAAGATGAATATTCAAGGCAAAATATTTAATTCATTAATTTATAATAAAATATATGTATATAAATAAACATTTATAAAGTGATGATGAGGAATGAAGAGTTTTTCTTTTTTTAATATATCAAACTGGAATATGGTGACCCTATTTTGATGTTTTTACTTGAGATGTCCGATTATCGGGCGATATAATTATGTGGTATCTGTCCATATCCTTATCGGGTTTCCCCCTGATAATTAAAAGCCGATGATATAATGCCTGGATTTTGCGAAATATGTTGAAGCTAGCACTCTTGCCAACACGTGACGCACCCTGATGATGTCATTAAACCGCGCCAGACGGCAAACTGTGTAGCAGCAGCGAAGCTAAACTGTAATGAAAAATGTCTGCATTGTGAAAATTTTTTAAAATTTCAAATGATGTCTTGAAGTTTGCGATTTGCAACGACTGTGAGGTCCTTGTCATGCGTGGGGGAACCAAGACTTCGTCCTTCAACAGCGATCCCACACTGGACTCCATTTGTGTTTACATTCAATTCTGTGCAAAACAGCTGTAATGGTGAGGTACACTTTTTTCCTATTTGTGAAGAAAAGAGATTTATCTCTTGCTTGAATATTAATTGTCAGGTTAATCTCAGGAAAAGCATATTCCAAAATGTTTTTAAGAAAGTGTTGAAAATAAATGTCAAATTTTGCATTTCCTGAAGTTGAAATACTGTTTTTGTCCTCTACTTCAGTAATTATTTGTGGAATATGCAGTGTGTAGTGGGGCATCACAGTAAATGTAGGTTATGCTTCAATTTTGTGACTGGCATGATGTGAAATTAGTTTATAACGGTATCGGCTTATATCGGAATCGAAAATTCAGCATTTGGAACATCGGCACATCGAATGTTGGCAAAAAAAGGCAATATCGAGCATCCCTAGTTTTTACGAATCGCCATCTCTTCATGTTTTTGTTAATTTTTTTAATAAATTCTTGCTGCCTTTTGTATCATCATTTACACACATTTTAATTCTAGGGGGAGAAGATTTTAAACAAAAACAAAGAACCATTTATTGTATTTTTGATTTAATAATCATAACATTTATCTCCATTTATGTGAAACCACAGGTTTGGGAATTAAAATACCTTTTACCTTTAAGCTCACTGATGGGTTCGCCACTTTCTCAAATTTAAAATACATTTTTGCCTAAATGAGATAATCTGTGGACAGGACAACTATAGCTTCCAACACCACAACTCTGGATTAATGGAGCTCAACAAGAAAGCTACTGTTAGATCTAATCTGTAAGAGGTCCACTTTCTAGTTAGCTTAAATATTATAAGCTTATCACCCTAAAAAGAATATTAAAAAAAACGTAAGGTTAAAAGGCAAATTAGACGGAACTAAATGCAGACTGGATGCAAAATTTAACTTTCCTGCAGAACAGCGACTCAGAGTTACAGTCCAAAAGCTCAGATCAAAGATGTTAATGTTAAAATGGCCTATTCAGAGTCCGAACCCAAATTCTCAATTTTTCAAGAGATCCACAAACGCACGCCACACTTCTCATATCAATGCTGTTCACAAACTGGTCATTTATAACAAAATATTTGGGCTGAACAGATTACCGTAATCGGAATAACTGTGATTAATTTTTTAAACACCTGTTAACCAATTTGGTAATCAAATCGCATCCGTAACTAAATTATTGCTACATACTCTTCAAAGTGCCAATAGCTGAAATAATACCCAAGTTATTATTAATGTTTTTGGCCCTATATTTCAAATATGTTCTTATATATTTTTTTTTCATTAAGTGATGAGATCTTTTTGGATTAATTGATTTGTTTATCAAAAATATGATCAATAGATTAACAGATATTACAATAATCAATAGGTGCAGCTCTAGTAAATATTGTAGTTTGTGTAATTCTTACACTTTAAACCCCAATAACATAAATTCATTATAAGGCTGAGATTGAAAACATGCAAAAACAAAGTTCTGAAACACAACGTCTCCATCTGGTACAGAAAGAATGTGAAAAATGTAGGTTATATTTACAGAGCAGCCTTATGACCTTTGTGCAAAGAGTTAACATTTGGCTTGGCCCCTTCCTCACCTGTAAGAGCTGTGCTTGAGGGATTGAACCATCGGACTCATGACACAAAGCCACCATATGCTCTGGAAAAAAGTTCTGGAGGGGAAAGAAAGACGCAAACCAACATGAGAAAGGGACAGAGAGGGAGACGGTCACCTGAAACCACTTAGTGTGAAAAAGCAAAGAGAGGAGAGCATCTCTCTTTACACAGTGGATCTGTGTGTGTGTGTGTGTGTGTGTGCTGAGTAGGAGAACTCGAACACTAAGTGGTGGGAAGTGAAAGAGGGCACTCCAGCCTTGCAGTAGATGCAGTATGATCTCATCCGCTGATGTAATCCCCTTCAGCCAGCACCGCCACTGTTGGCGTGATTGACAGGCTGCAGCTAGCACTCTGGTGTTTTACTGTGCTCATTACCACAAGGCTGAGATCACCTGCTGGCTCCGACACACACCTAAATCAACCCAGCAGTAATGTCATTGTATGCCCAGTCAACATGCAACAGCAGAGAGCCCCCAGCTGAGTCCACAACAACAAAAGATGCCATGCAGGACAGCTAGCACCGGCCGACTGGCGCCTTTCACAGAGAAATTAAGAGCTTTGTATGCAGGTGTTATCTTTCTTCAAAAGAAAAGCTTGAAAATAATACTCTGAAATATAAAAAAAAAGGAAAAAAAGCCCAGATTATCCTTCGTTTTGTGTTACATATATATTAATTATCTGATTTAAGGCTAAGCACTGCCTGTCTTCAGAGGAAATAATCAGCTGGCTTCATCTCCAAAATGAGCCATCAGAGAAATACGTTTTTTTTTCACCAGAACAGAAAATTCACAATGTGGTTAAGAAATATTCCCAAACTTGAGTCAAATTAAGCTAATCTGTCTATTATAGGTATATTTACCTGGAAGCTATAACAAACTGGCTCTTGTTATTTTTATATTCTATAATCTGTAAACATGGAAATGTATGCGTTTCCTTATGTTTTTTTTTCCNTCCAGGCTGCACTGAGAAAGGGGAACATTTTCACAGTCTTCCCAAGAATCCGAAGACTCGACAGGCATGGATTATTTTTGTCAATCAGAAGATCCCTGCAAAGTTCGATGCTCAGCTGTTAATTTGCTCTAAGCATTTTACAGAAGACAGCTTTCAAAATCTTAGACAGCTGAAAGCAGGATTTGCTAAACTTATTTTACTGAAACGAAGGGCTGTTCCGACTGTAAGGCCATCACAACTGCAAGCTGGGAGTATGATTCTGTCGCTAAGGTGAGAGCAATGCTAGCATTTCTATGGCTGCTAAGATTAGCTGACTGGACCGGACCGGGCATTGGAACCGAGCGGTGAGATCCAGGGTTTGTCCGGGGATGGAGCAACCGAACCTGAGCCGTTGAAGGTATTCTTCCCCCCGCCTGCCTTACTGGGCATGGAGCCACCCATGTCCAGGCTACTGTCACCTGAGCTTGGTTTGCTCCGTCCTCGACCAGCCCTGGAGCTGACAGATTGGTTCTGCTGCACTGTAGTCGACCAAAATCATGGAAGATTTTGAAATTCCCCCCGGACATTTTTTTTAGGTATGAAAAGTAGGACATGCCCAAAAAAAAAAAGAACACCGGGCACCCCAACAATACAAAAAATTCAATATTTCAGTGAGGGAGTGCTTGTTGCTATGATGCGTCTTTGCTCAGCAGCTTCGCTGTAAACCAACCAATCAGCACACAGCTCATCTAAATATTCATGAGCATACCATAAAAGGAAGAAAACCATTTCATTCTAGGGTATTTAACCAGGCCTTCATTAGGGCTCATAAAACAGCAAATATGCCATTTTCAGCCCAACCAATGTTACACACCCTATTAAGAGACCTAAAGGACCAGCAACAAATACCCTATGGAATCATTTTATCACCCCTTTAATGTAATAATTAAACTCTTAAAAAATTGTGGAGGATTTTCGCAAATTTTTAAAAAGATCCACCCTCTCCATTTTAAAAAAATATGCACATGCACAACCCTGTACCCGCTCCCAAAAGGGAACACCTATAAATGCGTGGGAGAGCATGCAGGAGCCCATTTCTCCTCCTGCACGCTCTGTTTAAAAGTTGCTGTTTGCATCACTCATACAAGCTTACTCTCCAAAAAGAAGATATGCAATTTTTCCACTACGTCAGACTCACTCCCTTACGTAAACATATCACTAGAAAGACGTTTAGGAGGACCACTTATTTGGTGATCCACCCGGAAAAAGAACATACTCCACTACATCTTTAAGAGAAAAATAACTGAAGCAAATGTATTTACCATTTTTTAGATGATGATTCAACTTTGATCAACCTTATTTCTTAGTTTCATTTAATAATCCACCCTCAGCCAGACCTTTAAGAATCAGCATTTTTTCTTCTTCTCTGCTTTGCCAAGTTTCTTCCTCTTTTTCTCCTTTCTCACTGACCAACTCCCATTTCTTCCAAACCTCCTTAAGAAGTCCTCACCTCGGCCTTCAACGTTGCTCACTATCTACTGGTGCATGTGTTCACCTGCATGCAGGCAGAGGTGGCAGAGTACAAATACTCATGTCACTTTAATTAGATTATTTTTTTTTTTTTGGTACTTGTACTTTTAAGAGCTTTTTTTTTTTTGCAATGTTTGTACTTTTACTCATACTTCAGTACAATTTATGCCCTCAACTTTTCTACTTTTAAAACCAAAACAGAGTATACACATTCATAATGTGAAGCATTCATTATTGAGCACAAATAAAAATATCATAAAAAAATCATAAAACTATAGACTCTAACTTAGAACAGCTGCTCCATTCCTCCTGCCTTTATTCAGTAAATAAGGCAGCCAAACAAAACAAAGTCAAATATTGTCCCATTAAAACATCCAAAAGTTAAAAAGTTCTTCAAGCACTTTTCCACTTTTATTTAAGCACTTTTTTAACACCGGCACTTTTTCTTGTCCCTGAATACAATTTAAGCAGTGAAAATTACTTGAGAACAAAATTTCAGTACTCTTTCCACATCTACATGCGAGTTCTTGTGACTCGGCGCAAGTTGACAATGGTAGAGGAAATACTGAATCTAGAAGAGTTGCCTTTTTTTTATTTCTGCTTCTGTCTCCTTGAACCCCCGTCAGCCTCAGCAGAACCAGGCTCACACTAAGCCTGGTTCTGCTGGAGGTTTCTTCCTGTTAAAAGGGAGTTTTTCCTCTCCACTGTGGCTACAAGCATGCTTAGTGTGAGGGATTGCCTTTGAGTCAATGAGTCGATGCAATCAACTGGTTTTCCTTAGATAGAAAACTTTGAATCAGTTGTATAAACAAACTGTATTGAATTGAATTATAGGCACAACTAAACAAGCGTAACTGTACTATCAAAATAACGACATACTTCTGCTATAGATATGCAAATACTGAACTAAATGTGTCCAAAGACCCTATTTCTGCATAACTGGCGGCGTAACGACCGATATGTGAAGATTTGCTCAAAGCAACAAGACATTTTCTGATCTGGAGGAGTTGGGTTCTGCAGCAGAACAACAATCGAAAGCTAATTCTCCTCAGCGTGTCTCAGAAACTAAAATAATGTTCATAGACTAGTTAAAGTCTGGAGGTAAATATACTTGAGGTACATCCTAGGTGGCTGTTTAAAAATAATCTGCAAAGAGGATGGGGCCAAAACTTCAGTGACTCATCTCCAGCCAAAGACTGTGTCTGAATTAGCGAGGTTAACTGAAAAGCTCTTCTTTTTCTTCATTATCTTATTTTAATTTGATGATCAGAGATATTTCACTGTGACTAAACTGCTTTTCCTTTTTCTATGTTATACTGACGTGTTTCTGCTTTCAAGTTGAATTAAAGTAAATCAACTGAATCTCTTCAAATGAAGAATTTAGAGCTTGAAAAATAGAGTTTGACTATGTTTTATTGCGATGAGCAGCTAAATGCATTTTAGTGTCACTGAAATCCTTTAAATTATTTTAACATTTGAATGAAAAACTTAATAGCAAATTTAAGTGAAAAAACAAAAATTAAATGAATCAAACTTTTTCAAAGCAGCGTTTAAAAGTGAATGACATCAGCTTGAGTAAAAACGTGAAATATACACTAGGGTTTAAACTAGGTGTGCAATAAAAGCAAAATAAAAAAGTCTCCAAATCGCATGTTACATTTAAAGGCACAATGTGTACGTTTTGGCCACTAGGGGTGCTAGACCTGTAGGTTTAACATCTAGTTGCCACATGCGCCGCAGCGCTGTAACAAACGTCAACAGACAGTCAGCCTGCCAACCTCCCGTGTCCTTTACAGTGGCGCCACCAGGGGGTGGCCAGGGGTGGCCCACAGCCACCCTGTGCAATGCCCCCACTGGCCAGTGCAAATTGTAGTAGCATCAGTTTATCATTTCATCCCAATATGCACAGCCGGCGACGTAAAATAAAAAATCACACACTAAACCAAGACATGAATAGGTGTTTACTAAAGTCGTTATGATTTATACAGGCAGGTTTACCACATTAGTAGATTAAAACCCTGAAATTATGGCTTTTAGTTTCAATTTGCCACCCCAAGATTTTTAGTGGCCCCATTTGGCCACCCCATGAAACATTTCTGGAGGCGCCAATGGTCCTTTGATATGAGAGGCGTCTATGTTAAACTTGAAGGGCATGAGAAATCCTGCTGTTCTTTGGAGAGCACCGCGGGGGCAGGCCGGACCACACCACACGGAGGACCAGCGGTGGAGCTTTTGTTTGGAGCTTTCTCTGCCCATATTTTGGTGCTTTAGCTAATGTGCAGATCCATGGATGCAAGTAGAAGTAAGGACGTTTCCATTAAACTGTAAGGTTTGACGACAATGGACTCTGGACAACAGAGCATTCAAGGTCATGAAAACAAAGGAACCACAATCCAATTTTGTTATGAAAAAAATAAATAAAACAAACTAATAACACATTTTGATTCAAGGCAAAACTAACCAGCTCTAGCTCAGACTATTAGAAGCATAAATCTCCATGAACTGAAGTTATACATTCGCTGCTTGTCAACAACTGGTATCCTGCTGACATACTGACCTACAGATGGTGAAACGTTACACCTAACATCAGCATGTGAGCACTGATTTATCGCCATTCGTCAGCATGTAACGTGAGATTCGCAGCGTGTGAAGAGACACGAGCTCAAGGAGCAGCTTTAAACTCACCGAGTCTAGAGAAACTGGTAGAAGAGAAGAAATGTAGCCCTTAAGTGTATAAATCCAGAACTACCAAGAAAAAACTAAAACTCTGCAGTGTGTGTTGGAGAGAGGAGGTGCGTGCCAAGAGCAAGCAGTCACAGAGAGGTCATATCAGGGATGGGAGAGACTCACCAGGGGGTTCCTGAAGAATTCATATTTGGCATAGTTCTTCCTGAAGAGGAATTTACTGTCGCTGCTCATGGAGGCTTGAACCTGAACCACCAGTTCATGATCCTCCAGACACCTCTCTGCAAGAACAGACAAGACGGACAGACTTAGCCTCAGAAAACATCAGGGAGGAAAAACGTTCTTCTCTCTAACTTTATGAATGAAACTCTAATGAGAAACATTTTTGTCGGCTACAGCTGTACAGTACATTGGAAACATGTTCATATCCTGTTTTTGTTTAAGCTCCATCAAAATGCACAGAGCGGGGGTTTCTAATGCAGGGGGGGATTGGGCAAGACACCACGAAGCAGGTGCGATGAGATGGTTTAACAATCATTGTGACATAATCTCTAACATATGGAGGGCCAAAATATAACCTTAAATAAAGAAATGTACCATTAAATAACTAATTGTAACATTTATTTATTTTTTTTTATAAAGCATGATTCAGATATTGAATATACTATCAAATTGTCAAATGCACAGTTTAATAATTAAATGTCTCACTGAAAAAAAAAACATTAATTTAATTTTATTTCATCTGGGCAGAAAGACCTTTTGTCTGCTTAAAATATCTCCTTAAAAGTTTAATCTTACGTAAAGTTAAACTTAGCTATTGCACTGGGTGTCAAATGTAGAGAAACAGGTTATTGCATAGGGTATCATTTTAAATAGTTAGAATCATGCATAGACAGTGGCAGCCATTAAAAATGGCCCTTTCCAGTCAAATGGCAGCCGAATGGCAGCCAACATCCCTCTAACTCCCAGCGAAATCTGGGGCCAGTGGTGGGAAATTCCAGTTCCTGAGGGCCAGTATCCTGAAACCTTCACATGTGCCTTTGGTTCAATACACCTGAATTAAGTAATTAGAGGATTGAGAGGACTCTGGAGGAACTGACAGCATACTAATTAGTTATTTTTTTCAGATGTGCTGGACCTAGGATGGATCTAAAAATTGCAGGATACTGGCACCCAGGAACTGGAATTGCCCACCCCTGCCCTGACCCCACCAGGAAGTACCTACTCCTAGCATGCTGTGTCTGCATAGAAAACACGGCCACTTTTTCTGTTGAGCGAGCTGTTATATGAGGCTGAGGGGGGTCCTTTCGGTTCAAAGTTTAGACCAAGTTGTCCTTCTAGCAGCTAATCTGCACAGTGACAGCAACTGTTTTTTCAGCCAGAGATCTCAGACTCTCTTCCCTCTTCTAAAAGAAGAGGCTAATGGCCAGAAGTGGCATGATGCCACAGCAACATGAAACAGGCGGTCCCCACACTTGAGTGCGAAGGGCAAAATTAAATCTTATTTATAGCTATACTTCACTTTGTATGATATAGAACCTTTTAGATTATATTTTAATTTACAATAAATTTAGTTAACCAAACTGTAAACTCAAATAACTCTAGATTACTCATGATTTGCTGATTATGTAACAAAAAGTGACATATTTCAGTGCTAATCGGTAGCTTCCTTTAATATTGCTCCTTATCCATGTTTCTATTATTTCTGTTTAATTTTTTGTCTTTCAGTCTATGGCAAACTATTCCTCAGAAATTTAGCCTTTTAACACAGTTTACAAATCACTAATAAATATGCTTTTTAAAAAGGGGATAAAATCCTAAAGGAGCTTTTGTACATTGAGGGTCATTCCTCCAGTGACACGCCGCCATTAAATCTTGATAACAAACCAGCACAGAGTAAAATCCCCAGTAGAACCCAGTCAGAAGTGCTAACCGGGTTCATCCCCTCCAGTCCTGCAGCACAAATGAACAGTGTTTGGATTAACTGTCTTTTCTTTCTCCATTCAGACCACCACCAGAGGGGCTTGCTTCTATATTTATCATCACATCCCCAGTTCAACTCTTGCATACAATGACACAGCAAGAAAAATTGCCTGTTACTATGAGACGAGTGAGGGGCTGGATCTGATGTTTAAAATGAGGAGGGGCTGCACCTCCTCCCTGCCTGCCAGGCACTGAAGGTGGAGGAGAAGTGGTGTGAGATGGAGGAGGAGTAAGTGAGGGTGAAGGGGGGTGGATTGCAGAAAGGATGATGTCATGTATTTAGGCTGATTGCAGAGAGCAGCAGCGCCATAAGCAAAGTACAAGCCGCAAATACACAAGCAGACATTAAGAGCTCCCACAGGCCTAACCTGCTCTCTGCCCCAGGAGCCCAGTCAGTGCTTTCATTGGTCCGACTGCTCCTGAAACCTGAAGGTTTCAAAGTTCCAACATTTTCCTGGAGCTAATAATAAAAAAAATTTGAAAAAGTGTTTTGAACGGGCATAACCCTCTCCTCTGACGGTCTAACGAAAACAAATATCCCACATTGTTTTTGTGAAACCGTGGTCGCCGTTGGTGCTAAAAACAGCTCTCTGGCTGCACTTTGGGGGTGGAAATGTCTGGACTCGGTTGGTGTGCGCGCTCACAAGCATGCTGGCTACAACCAGGGGAATTTCCTGTGCAGGGTTAAAAGGAAGATTGATTGGCCAGAAACGCTAGGGGCTCGTCCGACGGAGAGCCGTCATTGGCTCATTGCGGCTCTGGAATGACGCTTAAGTCCAGGCCTCTTAGCCCCCAGTCCCCCCCCTCCTCCTCTTCGGTCTCCTTCTCCTTCATCCTTCCCTTTCTTTCTCCCCCCTTCCTCACTCTTTGCAACTCACATTCCATCTCTCCAGTGTACTTTTTTTTCCAGAAACACAGATCAA